ACGATTTCTGGTTTGGAATCTCCCCCCGGATTTTAGCCAACTGGGGCGGCCTGTGAAATGCAAATATTTATACCAACTACTTGAGAGCGACTGCAAGGGGAAAACGGCCAGAAAAGTGCGTCATCCTTGGGAAACAGTGAATATCAATTAAGTGCCACCGCAAGTCCTGACACTTCAGTTTTGAATCGCAAAGGGCCTATGGGGCTTAAATTAGCTGCATTGAAGGGGGAACCCTTCTTTGATCTTCAAGGATATTGCAATAAGTGCTAATTAATCCTATTGAAACATTATTTGGAGCTTTGAACTTTTCGAATTAAAGTATTTCTCGCACTGTACTGTCGAGAGGGTTATGCTCTCTGAAGATCTGAAGCAAAAGGTGAAAGGAGTTCAGCCAAGAAGCCATTGCAGTGCTTTCTTTTCTTCATCTTTGTTCTTCCGTACGCAAAGTGCGTAAGGCAGAAGCTTAAAAAGAACGTAAGAGGCAAGCGGTGGGGATGGGGATGGGGGAGAGGTGATGTATATTTGCACATGTACCGTTAGCTCTAGCTGCTGCTGCTGTGCGTGTTGAGTTTGTTATTTCGCCTCTTCTCGAGCTCGAGCCTCACATCCTTTTTCCCTCCTACTCCTTTTGCATAAAAGCTGGCATGGGTGCGTGTTGTGGACATGGGTGCGTGTGGGTGTGCATATTTATGCGTATTTGTTTGCATAGCTGATGATGTGCCAGCAACAACAACAGCAACATCGGAACACTTTATGAGTGCGTGCCAACAACATTTCCCCACGGAGTCCCCCCCATCTCTAACCCCTTGAAGTCCTGCTCTTCTAATATCCTTTAGGGGCGCCATTGCAATTAGAAAACTTGCATTGCAACTTGTATTTTTTTTTCCTGCAACTTGTAATGCAATGCGCTAAATTGTTTTGATATCACACTGACACACCCACTCGCATACAGATGCACAGATGGAAATGCTAAGTGCAAAGTCCTGCTCAAAGTTTTGAAGCTACACTTGAAGAAATTATTAGAAATTTTAAATACCCTAAAACCTCTTCTATAGACCCTTTCTTTCAGTGTCTCTTATACGTGCCATGAAATTTTTTCAGCGCATTTCATGTTGCACGTTTCGGCCATTGTTGTTGTTGCTGCTGCTGATTCTGTGGAGTTTTTACTTTATTTGTTGTATTTTGTTGTGTTGTTGTTGAAAACATTTCTTTAATTTTTTCTTTTTTTTTTTGCGTTTCTTTCGTTTTGAGCTTGAGTCTTGACTGCAAACCACCCCCACGTTAGGGGATGTTTATGCGCGGCAGGACTTTCGTACTTTGGCAAATGACTTGACTTTGGTCAGAGAACTGAGACCAACTTTTAGTTGTTAGCTGGGAAAGCTAAGAAGAACAAAAAATGGAGAAAAAAATGTAAAAAGCTGAAATTAAATTGATTTTTTTTTTCATTTCCTTTCGTGGAACAAGTCAAGCACGAAAAAGACGAGTAGAATTCATATATTTCTGGTCGAGTGAAGCCGAAACTGAAACAACACAGAGAGATCCCTGAAAGCAACTCTTTCGCACGGAAACAACAATTTATTGTTTCAATTATATTTTCAATTTGCGCCGACAAACAAAAAGTCCGCCAAAATGCAAAAAAGGCTCTCAGCTATAAATAAAATAAATAGCAAACGAACTGAAATTTGTTTTCTCTTTTTTTCTGTCTTTTTTTTCTGTTTTTGGCTTTGTTGTTTTTTGGCCAGGTTTATACGAGCAATGGAAATTGTCAGAGAAAGAGGGTGGAAGGGCAAAGTTATTGAAAGTAAACATGATAAAATAAACTTTGCACACAAAAAAAGAGCGAGAGTGGAAAAAATTGTATTCCACTTTTTCCTTGTAATGCAGGCAAAAATTGTCTCAAATAATATTTAAAGAAAATTAAATTGAATTTACGGCGGTTCCTTGTTGTTGTCCTTATTTTTCGTCCTTTTTTTAACTGAGAGGGCATGGCGGTAGAGAGGAGGCAGCAAACAGAATGATAAGCAAAAATAATCAAAAATCGATTTGGAAAGTGCGTCCTGTCTCGCTTTCGCCTGTTTGCTTTTGCTTTCTCTTTGTTTTTGTTGTAACAATATGCCAGCATTTTCCATTTTCCATTTGTGTTGTTGTTGTTGTCCTTGTTGCTGTTGTCAAAATGCAATCATGTTGTTGTTGCTTTGTTGCTTTTTTTGTTACAGCTTGATAGGCACTTTGTAAGCAAAGCACAAAAATAAGAAAAAAAGAACAACAAGCAACAGAACTTTCTCCGGGAAGCATTTGAAAATTGAAATTGTAAGGCGGTCCTCGGTCCTGAGCCTCACTTTTTATATATTTTTGTGATTTTGATTCACTTGACTTAAACGGATTTGGTCCGGGCCCCGAAAGGAAGTGGGTAACAGGAATGTTCCAGCAGAAAGCAGGAAACGAAACATTGCCAGCCAATGCAGGAAATGTTTCATATTTAAATTGGAATTGGAAAGGGAGTAACAGATTTTTCGAATTCTAAGCCACTCGAAACGTAATCCATAAAATGTAATATTTGATTTAATTCTGAGAAATACTCCTTTCATTCTGGCCTTAAAAATTAAAGGAATACCTTACTAAAGTTATAGATGAAATCGTAATTTTTCTAAGGAGTTCCTATAAAAAATTCTGAAAATGCCTCCAAAGGCTAAAATGCGCCAAATCAAAAGCCATATCTTTGTCGATACTTATCCGATTCATCAAAGGAATACCTAAAACGATTCCTAGATCGATTCCCCATTAATTTGTATCTAAATCCAACAAGACATTTTTGAATCAAATATTTTTAAGTTTTTCTGGAGCTTTCCCTTAGAATATACTGGTTAAAATGAAAAATTCATACTCCCAGTTGAAAACTGCCTTTAGGCCAGTTACCACTCGGCACTTTAGCCCTTGCTTAGTGCCCCATTTAGCTGACTTCTCTGTCATTATTATGTGCCAAAGGCCTTCAGCAATTAGTAAGTTTTGTAACCTGCTGACCCTCTAAGCCAACACAGTTAAATACACCCATTTAAATAACCGTGTATCTGTATCTGTGTGTATCTGCACCCGCCTATGGGTGCATTTAACCCCTCGGAAACTGGACTAAATGACAACCGTTTCCTCCGACTCTGACTCCGGCCTGCTGTCCTGCCGCGCCGGCCGCAGGTCCGCCCCCTCGTTCCCAGTCACTTTTCCTGCCATTTATGCTTGGGGTGCGAATTTGCTTAGTTTGTCGCCCAGTTAGGAATAAGCTGTGAAAAGGGTCCGACGACGACGAGTCGGTCAAGCTGAAAAATGCGCTGCAATTGCACCTTGCACTCGCCAGCAATTGTGCACTGGGAGAAACTGCTACTAAAAAAAAAAAAATTATGCTTATTATTTATTTACTTTTCTTATTAGTTTTCTTGCAGTGCACCCCTTACCCTTTTTGGCCATGCATCGGTGATATTTAAATTGAGCCAGCGGGCAGTGAAAAATTCCAAGGGCCAGGGCAAAAGGGTTAAATGCACTTCAAAAATAGAAGAAAAAAAGGGTTCCACGCTCCTAGGTGCACTCTGCCCTGGATATCCTTGATCTATTTGAGCTCTGTCTCTCTTCCCCAGGCTCAGCCTCTCTCTATCTCACTGTTTCTGCTGAGCAGTTGCTGTGGCAATTAGCGCTGGAGTTCGTTCGGTGTGTTGCCTTGTTGTTTGTTTATTAATAAACAATAACAGCAACAAATTGCTTAATTGCTGTATTGCCGTATTGCACCTGCCCCGTGGCACCCCCCCAAGCCACCACCTATGCCCCCACCGTCGCAGCTACCATAATGCTTCAACGGCCCCGGGCCTCATTACGGAATGGATTTTTTGTCTCATTAAAAGAGAGCGAGATGGAAACAGATTTTGCACTCATTACGGGGCAAAAAAAAAAAAAGAAAAGCGAGACCAGGATTCCTGTGCTATGCGGTAGTTTTGTCCTTTAACTATTACAAGGATACTCGGTCATCCCTCGCGCTTTCTTAGCCTTGTGCCGCCCTAGCTCGGCTTTAGAGTCAGTATGCAAATTGGCATCGAGTATACGCAGTGTGTTCCATGCGTAATTATATAACATTAATTTGCATTCAAGTTGTCTCTGTTTCTGGTGTTTTTTTTCGTTTTTTTTGCATTTTGTCAGTGATGGTGCAATCAATGCAAATGTACGCGCTGGCAGCTTAACGAGGATGTAAACATTTATTTATTAAAACTTAACAACGCTTTATGATCAGCGCAGATTTATATAAATGTGAGGACCGTGGACCGCGGACCGTGGCCCGGCTGATTGTCGTCCGCAAGAACAGCCACCACCAGTGCCAGCAGCACCATAGTCCAAATCAAAATCAGAATCAGTAGCAGAAGCAGCCACAGTAGATCAACCCGACTGCCACAACCATTATCCACATGAGCAGAATCAAATCTGTTTTTACAAAAAAAAAAGAAAACAACAAAAGCATTCAATTGCGCAGACACACAGACCGACACACTCGAGCATTTTATTATTTAATTTATGCAGAGACTACAGAACAAAAAAAAAATTGGAAAATCTGCTGGTAAAAAAAAGAGCACCAAAACCACCACAAAAAGTACATACATAGATGAAAGATACAGTTTTATCTGTATCTGCATAGTCCAAAACAATGGGAATCGTGCATCCGTAATAACATTGGTCACCTAAAACCCCATTTTGTACAACTATGCAGAATGGAATTCCCAGATATAAGATACAGGAGTGACAACATTAATTTGAATATTAAGGGTCTATCTATACATTCTGGAGGGATATACAATTTCATGTCCCCCTTTTAGTAAATAATCACTTTAATATCCTGCGAAAATCATTCGTGGATTAAATAAGATTAATCATAAAAATGCATTTGCCCATAATTATAAATTAATAATCATTGAATACTACTCCCGCAAGTGAAAATGTAATTATATGAAAATGTTGTGTATACGTACGTTTTTTGCTTTGGGTTCCTGGAAAAGAAAAAAAAACAGGGAAATTAAAATAAACCAACTGTAAATGCAAATAAGCTGTGATGCATAAAATAATTAGCAATAATTACAAATAAAATAAATCATGTATCGATGGCTAGACGCCAACCAGAACCAAATGGGGGCTATTAAAAAAAAGCTTATATGCCCGGAGTGGTAAATATTTATAAGGACAGAAGGACACTGAGCTAACAAAAAATAAGGACACTAATTGGCTGTCAGGACGGCCTGAATTTCCATTCCCAAGAGAATCAGAAATGAAAATCCATTAAAACGATAAAAGCAAAAGAACAGCACCACAAAATACTCATATTTAATTGTGGTTTTAAAGTTGTGAATTAAATTTTGGTAATTAAAAGACGAACACAAATCCCAGTAGCAAGACCTAAGCGGCTTAAAATACTATATAGTATAATAAATACGAACAAAAAAAAATACATGCATTGGTGCTATCCGTTCGAAAGGACCTCAGGACGTGCGGGCATGTGAGTGTGCCGGGCATGAGGCTTAGGTATTACTCTTAGATTTGGCTTAGGACTCTAACACACAATGCTAGCAGATGTGCAGGGAAGCGTGAGTCGCAGATGTTCCAGCAGATGAATATGCAATGCGAGTTCGAAATAAAACAACGGAAGCTGTGAGGAATTTTCAATTCAATTTTGTGGACAATTGTTCATTCATTTGTGATAAATATATACCAAAAATCATAGTAATCATGGTTATTGCTTGCAAGCTTATGTCGAGCCTGCAATTAAATATAAAGAGTTCTTCCCCCGTTGCAATGCACCCTCGTTTTTCTCTGTGCATATTGGAAACCCAAAACAAAACTTCATCTGCCAGTCGAGGCAGGAGCATTGAACTCAAACTCAAACTGAGAACCAAAATTTCCAGATTCGAGTTTGCGAGGCATGCCTCGAGGCATCTTTGGGGACTTATCGAATGACAAACGCACATATTGCTGCCTATAAATTGAATGATTGAAGGATAAGGCGCTGTCCTCCAGTCGGGATGAGGAGGGGGCGGCAGTCGTGTGCCTGGCCAAAAGCGACAATTAACCAAAAAGACAACGTTTTTGCCCCAAAACATACTTTTCAGAGTTGGCCAGGCGGAAGGAGCTGCGACCAGAAGGGTATGTATGTATGTCGATAGCGCTGAAAACCGGCAAGGTGCGAGAAGGGATAGGGAAGGGAGAGCGGAGTGCCAGGATGAAAGAGGATGCCCGAGTGCAACTGGATATGCCAGGAGCACGACCACGACCGAGTATCAGATTGCACAACATGCTCATAATGAAGCACATCCACGACATTATCATCGGCAACTTCATCATTACCGCCATACGTTGCAGTTATGTGTGAGTTTCAGAATGTGTGTGTGTGTGTATTATCCTGTTTTCCAGGAGCTCTCAAGCCAACGTGTCAAGCCAAAAAGACACAAAGAAAAAATGTTTAAAAAAGAAACAGATATACAGACAGATTTATATATGATTTTGTACAATTTTTGAAAAGGTGTAAGGTTTTAAATTGTATGATTTTTGAGAGCAAAGGTGTTTAAATATATTATTTTTTTCTCAGTGTAGTATCCACCTTGACAAGTGCTCTCTCTCCCTGCCTTTTAGTGGGTGTTTGCCAAGAGAGTGTGTCACGAACGTGGAATGTTTCTGTGCTCCTGTGTGTGTTTGGCTTCAAGTAGGAGCATTGCACTCGTCCTGGCCCAAAGAAGTCAGGACTCCGGATACGTCGAGGCGAGTGTTCCGCATATGCATGTGCCAGTATCAGGACATTTCGTATGCACGAGGCGCAAAACCTTTAAGTCGCTTTGGCTTGAGATGGGCGATGCTTAGTGACTTCAATGCAGTGCATTTGCTTCAATGAAGTTGGAGCGCAACTTGAATTGAAAATAAAGGCCAGAAGAAGAAGGTCTGAGGCAGAGTCCTTCTGTGTCGAAAGCCATCCTTGGACATTCAATCACTCAAACCCCGGACAGACTCCAAATGGACTTTCGGGGTTGATTCCTTTGGCTTTCGGCAACTTTCCTTTCACTCAGACACTTTCAATATTTGCTTCTGTTGCCTGCTGTTGGTTTTCCTTTATTTGTGGAAGCCAACAAGAAAAAATCCGAGAAAAAAAAAAATGTTCAAATTTTAATGAGAAAATTCCTAAGAAAAAACTGCATATTTAAAGAAAGCCAGCGAAGGAAACCGGCCAAAAAAAAAAATATACTAATAACACTGCCAGCGTCACAGGAAATATCCTCTCAGATAGGCCTGTCCGATGAGAAAAAAAAATCTGTGGTGTGGGAGCCAGTTTTCCCGGCCATTCAAATAGCCAAGTTAATGACTTACGCCCGGAGGCCCTTTCAGCTGATTTGTGAAAGTAGAAAAAATAAATTACGAAAAATATTAAGTGAAAAGTGTGATGGGGATGGGGAGAGTGGGACTTTAAAGAGCTTCGAGCGTCAAGTTCATCTTGAAATTTAAGACCTGGCCGATAAAAGAGAATAACCGATACCGCAAATAAAAGTTGAGGAGTCCATTGATCCGCATTCGATGGGAAATTATAGAATGAAATAATTCACGTAAAAAATTTATGGCCAGCCGACAATGAAGAACCTGACTGGGTCCAAAATGAATCGGATTCGAGAGAGCCAGCTGTGAAGGCCAAGGCGAATAAAAAACGCGAAAGCATTGTCATTATAAAGTACACGGACAATGGCATAAATATATGACTACCGACATGAGTAATTTTATGGTACACTGTGCTACCCATTTCAAGTCTGGAGAAGGACTTGAGGTCTTCTATATTTTATAGAGTTCAGGCTCAATACTCTATGAGCTTAGAGATATATAATTATTATTTTATATAGTAACCCCTATCACGTAGTCTAGTGTGGCAGTTGGGACAATACAGTCTCTGATAATGATGTTGAGGATGGCGATGATAAAGCAAAGGAAGATATAAAACTAAAGCGTCAATTGTCTGCCAGGACGATGATGAATATAAAGAGGAAGAGAGACAGTCAAGACACGAAATTGGCGTTGCGCTATCGCCGCGCGTATCTTGTAGATACAGATACACCCGGGCGTATTGACATGTCAACTGTTGCTCCTCAGAGTAAAACTGCGAAATTTACAAATTTATCTATGTGTGTCGTCAATGGACACAGCTGTGTGCAAGCTGAAGGAGAGGGGGTGGACCGGACCCGGGGAAGGGGAAGGGGAAGGGGGGATCAGGACAGGGGATCGGGGATCGGGGAAAGCGGTAGAAGATCTCTGCGTGCCATTTTCTCGTTTGACGGCCTTTTGTATCTCGTAGTGCGCCCGCTCTCCTCTCGGTCCTGTCAACCTTAATTGTATTGCTGCCATCTCTTTCCACACAGTATAGCCCCATCTCTCTCTCATCGTCAATTTTTTTTGTTTCCTGTTTGCAGTCCGCTGATCGCGGCACTCGCTTATTTATTTATCTCTGTCTGTCTGCGTTTTTGTATCTGTGAGAGTGTGTGCTGCCTGTTCTGTTTGTATCTGTGTGTGTATGGAAGTATCTGTGTGAGTGCTAGTATGCGAGAGTGTGTGTGCGATCAAAAGCCGCGTTTGTAACTTGTGAACATCTGCTCCTCGACGCCGGCAGCAACGTTTGCTTTCCTTTTATTATTGTTTTCGTTGCCTCGTTTCGTTATTATCGTTTTTATTATTTTTGTTTTTCTTATTTTATATAGCACGGCATATTGGGCCGATCTTGTTATTATTTACGAACGTCTGTATTTGTATACGAGGCTGGTCTGTTGCAATATGGTAGGAAGAAACATTTCATGGAGTTCTCAGGGGTTACTATCTGTTTTCATATATTTTCTAATTAAAACAATCCCTCGAAGAAAAATATGAATATCTAGGACATGAAGACAACCATATATAGGGGCTTCTGCCAGTTTCTGTATAATTTCTAAACAAAACAATCCCTTGGAGACCAATCTAGGTTATATAAAGACATTCTTCCCATCATTGCCCCATGTATCGATCACTTGAGAACTCCTTAGAGGTCCTTGGGCCATTGAACTTGTTCTCAAAGCACTCCAGCCTCTCGGGTGACGACATGCTGGGCAATTTGAGATTCCTGGCGTCGCGCACACATCTGCAACCTGATTGCCAACCGCTCACAGGACACGCTCAGCCTGCGGCAGCGGCATCTTAAGTGATTTCGCAGCGAATGTATCTCGAGGATGCGAGGATGTCGGATCGCACGGCTCAGATACTCAGATGCTGGGATACTCGAGTGCATCGCATACGCAGGCACTTAAGCACAAACATACACATCCCCCCCTCCTCCCCGGAATCATTCCCATCACCAGACTCCATTTAAATTTCCAGGCCTCTTGTAGTAGGTTACTAGTGACAGAGGGAGAGGGCGAGAGTCGGGCGGAAAGAGACAGGATGCGTTGGCACTTGGCCGCGGAACATCTGTTGCGCTGACATAAATCCTGAGTGACTGACCGCTGGTGCGAAAGACCGCGAATCGCGAATGTGGATGTTGTGGATGTGAATCTCGTGAGCTCTCGACTTGCCCGCCGGGTCTCGTTTTGGGACAGAAACCAGTTCTGGCCGATTCCCAGCTGCCCGTTTAGCCACAATGGGAAATCAGAGGGGGTTTCTTAACAAAAATAAATCACAACAAACTATATTTAGAGGATTAGGTTGCAGTCTGTTTAATGTTTCAATCCTTAGGATCCATTTCCCATATAAACATATATCTTAAACATATATATCTTATATCTCTTATAGCCTTCCCTAGAATCCTTTGATCTTAGTACCTAGAAGGTTACATAGGAAGGTATCCAAAAGATACCCTTTCTTTGTCTTTGGACTTCTCTAAATATTTTAGACTATATCTTAGAGTTCTTTCTTAAATCTTTTATCTTTTATTAAATCATTATCTGATACTTCTAAGATTGTATCTAGTAAATGTGAACTCCTCTACCACTGTATCTACCAATTTCATTGAGTAACTTAAGCTTTAGCTCTGAATGGAACTTGGGAACTCACCTTCTTCTCGGTGAGCTTCTCACAGCGACGCTGCTTGCAGATCTGGTGGCTCTTGTCGTTGCGGCAGGGGGCGCACTCCCCGCAGTTATCCTTCCGCTGGCATCCAATGCACTCGCCGCATCGCTTGCGCTTCTTCTTCGACTGAAAGAGAGAGCAGGAAGAGGAGTTGTTGTCGTTGGAGTGGTTGTGGTGTAGGTTGTGATTGTGGTTGTGAGTGTGGGTGGTGGGTGGTGGCTGTGGCAGTGGCATTGGAGTGAGTGTGAGGGGTGGTGGCAGACGACGACCGTAGTCCTGTTAATCGCAGCGGTTGCCAGTTCGCCCCCCGTTTCCCTAACGCTCAATAGATAGGTGGGATTGTTGGCACGAAGGATCAGAAATATTCATGTCTTTAAGGGGGTTATCCTTATTCCAGGAATTCGAATATTAAAGATTTTATAAATTTTGTAGACATGATATTTCTACTCCAATCCAACAATCCCACCTTGAGGACACTTACCTGCTTGTCGCATCCACTGGCATTGGCATCATTGCTGTCGCCCATTCCCAGAGTGCTGAGGGGACTCTTGAAGTTGGCGGTGCTCGAGACGGCGTCCACCTGGCCAGGATTACTCGGGTCGACGTCCATGCCGCTGGCCTCGCTCTCGGCACTGGACTCGAGCGAATTGGGCCTCTGTTTCCGGCGTTCTTTCTTCCGCGCTTCCAGCCTTGCGATCGGCGACTGGAGCAGCTTCTCGGCCTTCACCGGCGTGGTGGTGGTCGGCGTGGGCTGGGTGGTGTGCGGCGTGTGGCTGCTACTCCCGCTGGCCGTCTGCGGGTAGCTGGTGTTGCTATTACCGTCGAACGAGGTCGGGGTGTGCATGCCCATGGGAATGGGATGCGGCTGGTGGTGCTGCATGCCGGGGTGGTGCATGCCACCGGCACCTGCAACACCACTGCTGTTGCTGAGATCAAAGTCCTCCTTCTTGAGCAGCATCTCGAAATCGGTGCCACCCGGCTCCTTCTTCACGCTTAGCGGGGCGAATCCCGGATAGATGGGCAGTTCGCCGTAGGGCGTGGCATATCCGCCACCGGCCGATCGATGGTGGTGCGGATTGAGGGCGTGGTGGTGGGCAAAGGCATTGGGCGGCGGTGGGGCCGGAAAGCTGCCCGCCGAGGGGGGCGTGATGCTCGTCTGCAGGCTCGAGAGCTGAGTCAGCGGCGATCCCACGCTCATCATTCCCGGGGAGCTGACGGAGATGCTGGCCGGCGACATGGCCACCGTTTGCAGGGCGCTCAGCGAGGCCGATCCTCCCGATCCTGGCACTGAGCCTGGCCCTGATACTGCTCCTCCGGCTGCTGCTGCCGCAGCTGCAGCTGCTGTTGCCATCGGCACGGGCATGGGAGTCCCGTCCGGCAGAAGCTGCTCATTGAAGCCATGGAACTGGCTCTGGAACGAGGGCAGCTTCGAGAAGGGTTCAAAGCCGCTCTTCAAATGATGTTGCTGCTGCAACTGCTGCTGGTGTTGTTGCTGCTGATGTTGCTGTTGCTGCTGCGATTGCTGTTGCTGCTGGGGCGGTGGCTGTCCCGAATCCTTAGACTCCATTTCCCAAGGACGCGTGTAGCTGCCGTTTGAATTGGAATTGGAGTTTGAATTCGAGTTGCTGGAGTTCGTGTTCTGGGGATTTACTGAGGCGGAGGCGGCGGAAATGGCATTGGCATTGGCATTGCTACTGCCATTGTTGCCGTTGTTGCTGTTGGCAGCACTAGCATGATTGCTGCTGTTGCCGCTGCTGCCCAAAGGCGTTGATACCGTGGGCGTGTCACCGTTGGTGTTGCTGTTGCTGTTGCCGTTGGTGGTGGCCGCTGGCTGTTGCTGTTGCTGCTGCTGCTGTTGCTGATGTTGTTGCTGCTGCTGCCTGGCATAGTATTCCCAATGTTGCTGCTGCTGCGGCTGATGGTGTTGCTGCTGGGGATAGTGCTGCTGGTAGTGATGCGGATGCGGATGTGGGTGGTGGTACGGACTGGTGTAGTGCTGACTGAGGCTGCTCAGCTGGTTGAGGTGAGTGTTGTGCAGGCTGGATACCGTGGCCTCCACAGACGAGGCTGCTGCTGCTGCCGATGCTGATGTGGCACCCGCTGCTGAGATGTGTCCAATGTTGCTGCTGTCGACGGGACCGCCAGAGCTGCTCTGGGCTAAAATTGAAGACGCCATTTAAGCTCGCACACTGGCATGGCTATGCAGTTCTCTAACAAAACTGCCAAGGCGCAACGATTTGTACTAATTTTGTTCAATTTTTTGTAAATTTAATTATTATTTTTGCCAGATTTTTTTGTACACTTTTAATACACTTTTGTTCGGTTTGAGGTAGTTTTTCTTAAAAATTTCTCTTGCAATTTGTTGGCCAGTGTATTAACATACACTCTCTCGAATTTGTATAATTCTATAGTCTAATGTTATATATCGGTTTATATAAGTTGAAGCTACTCCAAGATTTGTATTCGTTTATTTTGAACTCACTGGTTTTGCGTGTACTAATGCAATATTGATTAAATACTTGTTTTTATTGTAAAGTGCTATTATAATTAATTATTTAATTGTTCGTTTTGCTTAAAAATTTGTAAGTTGCTTGAAAACTTTAAAGATTTGTTGTTTTGTACTTTACTCCTTTGTTGTTGTTGTTGTAAAAACGGCAGCTATGCAAAAATTTGTTATCGTTTATTCTTTATTTTTGGTTTTTGCTATTTTTTAAGTTTAAAATTTGTAGCAGACTTCGATTTGTTTTGTTTTGCGGTTGGCTTTTTAAAAAATTTGTAAATTTGTAATTTTGTAAAATTTGTATTTATTTTATTATGCGTTGTTGTTGTTGGTTTTTGTTGTTGATAGATTATAATATTTGTTACTTGCTGTTGGTGATATTATTTTTTGTTATAATGTCGATTAATATTTTGTTGCTTGCTTGTAAATTGATTAAGTTTTGTTCTCTGGTTTAAACTTCGTTTCTCAATTGTTGGTTTTTGTTGTTTGTTAATATGTTGTTTGGGTACAAAAATAGTTGCAGTTTGAAATAATTTAAGTATTAGGTCTAGTAAATTGTACTTAATGTGTAGGCTTAATCCTGTGGCTTCCTTAAAAATCTTTGTCTTCCGTTTGTTTGTTTGCTTGGGTCCTGGCTTACCGATTAATTAAACATTAGCCCGTTAATTGCTATTGACTTTAATAGTAATAATATTTATGTATCTACTCCTTTTTAAGTTTGTATATTATTTTAATGCATTTGATGTGTTTTTTGTTTGCTTTTTTTTTGGTTTTTGAGTTTGAGGCTTGAATTTTGATTTTTGGCCGAAAGGGGGAGGTGATTTTTTATGCTTAGTTGGCTAAAAGAGATATTCCAAAGTGTTGCTGTGTCCTCAAATCCTTTGATTGAAAGCTGAAATGAGAAAAAACGAGAATGGTTAGTCAGGCATATTCTTGAAGAGATACAGAGTATCCTTGCTGGAAAGTTTCTTATTTCTTGCTGCGTTTTTTTTATATTCACTTTAAACATCTACAAACTTCAACACATAATTATGGTCTTTGACTGTATAATGAGCGGCGTTGGCCAAGTCCAAGTCAGCGAGGCAGGAAGCGGAAAAAATACAAAAAAAAAAAAAAAAATAAAACCCAACAGAGAACACAGCACAAAAAATGAGCTAAAGGACACTCACTTCTGGCTTTTTATTGCCGCTGCCGCTGTTGATGCCCCACTGATGTTGTTGCTGTTTTTGGCTTGTAAGTTATGCTGCCAAGTTGGCTTGGCTTTGTAAAGCCCCACACACACACACCCATAGCACACATATACACTTGTGTAGCTCACACACACAGTCACAGGAGCGTATTTCAACGCCGTTGTCATTTTCTTGCCTTTTTTCGCCATTTTTTTGTAGGTTTTTTATTCCCCCTCCTGTATCTTTTTTTTGCCTTGTTTTTTTTTTTCTCTTGTATTTTGGCCGGCACAGGTGTACCTTTTGTCCTTTGCCTTTTGCATTTGGCCAGCCAGCATTTCGTTGCGCTTCAGAAAGTTCATTGGGCCGGCGATGATGATGTAGGTGATTATGACGTGTGTGCACTGGGATGTGCCCCAAGTTGTGCGAATTTCTGTGTTTTTTGATGGGAAAATTCATAAATATGCGGCAGTTTAGGTGTTGCGAGATAGCGAGAGAGGGGTTTTTGATGAATTTTTAATGCCTAAAGGTAGTCCTTTAAAGCTAATCCTCAAAACTCTTTAGTCCTGACCTCTCACAAAATTTGAAAATAATCTATTTGAAAGTCCTGAACAATGTCCTTTCTGAATTTCCAATTAAAATGGTACATTTTGTGGCTGTAACTCCCTACAAGTTATGCCCCATTAAGCTTATATTCGACTACAATTTGTGAGTAACCCTCGACTCTGTCCTGAACTTTCCGAATTGACAAACTTTTCGCCTGATTTCGGTTGACAACTCCACTGAGTCATCATCTGGATGGCATTGTTCTGGCTGTGTGTGCAGTTCCTTGAGGTTCCCTTGAGGTCTTCCCACTGCACATTGTTGCAGAACGACAATTAAAGTCTGATTATTTTGTCGACTACAATTTGCGTGCAGCAATTGCCCCTGCCCCTGCCCCTGCCACAGACCCTTGCCACTGGGTTACTCTCTGTCTCACTCACATTAGTTGCCATCATCGTTTGCTTCTTCTTTGTTGCCTTCAATAAAAACGGTAAAAGGCCAACGGCCATGCCAAGCAAACCGAAAAAAAAAAATAATGTAGAGAACCTGCAGCAGAAGAGAAAAAATGTTGCAGCTGCCACAATTTGCTGCACTTTCCGTTTTATGCGATTCCGTTTCGCGTTTCCACTTCTGGCCTTCCATCCTGTCCTGTTTTCTGCAGCTGTAACTGCCTCCCCATCTCCCCCGCCCCCTCTTGAGTCTTCATTTTTTTTCCTGGGAGAGTTACGAGTCTTACGCTTGACAAGGCGCGATAAAGATCCTGATCTCTGCGATCCGGCCCGAGTCCGATTTTGTGAAATTGGGCCAAAGAGTTGGGAAAATTGGCGACAGCAGCAGCATGTGCAGTCTGCAATTAGTGTTTCCTCTTCCGCAGGACCCAATGGATTCAAACAAAAGCTTCCCAAATAATACCGTTTTTAGAACCTTCACATAAGACACCATTTTCCCCCCAAAATAACGGCAGATAACAGCTGAAATTGGTCCGCCAGGACTGACACTTCCGTTAAGCGACTTGGTCCGTCTTGTGATATAACACCAAAAATTATATAAATTACGTAAGTTTACCTAACCTTCCCCCACTTACTCAATCGGTAATCGAATTCCGAACTTGCCTTATCTTATCCGATCCTATCGCTAAGCTCTCCAGCGAAGTTTCAATGTTATGCATATAGTATGGGGGGTATATAAGCGGGGATTTCTATTTCCAACTGCCACCTATATATGTAGTACTAGTGTGTGTGTGTGAGTGGGTTAAAAAATGGAGAGAAAAATAAAAAAAAACACTATGAAAGCACGAACAATGACCGCAATTCACTTAAATTTCTTGTTTGCTGCTTATGCTTGATGCAGAACATTTTTGCAACATGTATGTATGGTACATTGTATAATGTTCATACAACATTCCACATATCCATGTTTTTTTTTTATTTTCATTTTTGAATTTGCAAATTAAACACGCAGCCCAGACGCACTCACACCGATATAGATGGCACACATACGAGACCATCCTCCTTGTATGGGTTTCAGAACAATGCGTCATTTGGAAAACAGAGTCGCAGTGTAGGAATGAAAATGGCAGACGAATCTAGGTGACTGCGAGGGCTGTTTTTTTGGGAGTAGATGGCGAGTTCTACAAACACACATACTCTCGTATACGAGGAGAAGTTCAGGGGAGTTCCAGCGGAAGAAGAACTAGGTTGCCCGGGCAGAATGCAGAATGGAAGAGCAAGTGAAGCCAGCCATGAAGCCGCAGGAGGAGAAACAGGAACAGGAACAGAAACAGGAACAGGACCAAGGGGTGGTGCTACCTGTGCGTTGTTTGACTCTATATTTGTTTCAATGAGAAACGGAGAAGGCTAAAATGTGGAAAATTTAGTAGATATTTTAAAGAAGTTTCTAGACTCTAAGGATACCCTCTAAATAGGGTTATTCTTTAAGATGGAAGCTCTCTTAAATGCCTTTTTTTAAGCTTGAGTTTCAAATATTATATTTTTTTAGAGATAGGAATAGAATCTACCATCAACTAACTAGTCACTTACCCTTTAATCTAAAACCCCACGCTTCTATAACAAGTTCAACTACGTACATGGAGGATGGCAAGTATCCTGCCACCACATATCCCTACATCCTCTCACAACTCGCGTCCTGTCTGACTGTCAAGCTGACGCTCCATTTGTGCAAATGAAGTACCCAGCTCCTGCCGCTGATCCTGCCCCAGCTCATCCGCTGCCATGTAATATTTTAATATGGTATCTGAACATTCTGCGCTTGTTTACAACTTTTGCTCATATGAGAATTGTTCAAAAGCAGTTTTGCTAAAATATTTATTAAAATTTGAGCCCCAGCATATTACAACACGTTTTGCAACTATTTCTGGCTGCATAATAAGTTTTGGTTATTTATGCACAAATATGTGTTCTACAATTGCCAAATGCTTTTCGCTGCAACTTAATGAATAAAATTTCAAAGTTTCCCAAAGGGGTTGATGTAAGCTGACATTTCAAGAAGCCGTAGAAGTAGCACTACTTCTTTGGGTCTTATGCTCGCTAATTAAATATACGAGGTTTTCACACCTTATGAAGTTCTTGAATTAATAATATTGTTCTTGAATTAAATTCTTTTTAATAAAGCCATGCATCGGAATATGAGCTACATATCTACAAAAAAATATATCTTTTTAAATATCTTCCATGGGTTCATTTGCTCGACAGTCCCCCACTGCTGCTCCACTTCTCAGTCTTCTGTGTGTCACGTGTAAATTGAGTTGTGCCGAAGGTTGGTGGGTTTTAGATGGCATGGTGGCATGGTGGGGCAGCGGTGTTGCAGGTGTGGATGAAATGAAACGTGCTGTGCGGCACAATGAAGCCATGCAAGGAACTGCTCCTCGCTGAATGCCTGTCCATGCATACCCGGCCGAGTATTAACCATATATGAATACGTATACGTACACGGGTACTTATTGCCCCGACCCCTTCCTAGTCGTCCTCCCAGATTGTTGAGATTTACGAGTTTGTCATTTGCGTTGCATGCTTTCAAAGTCACGCACGTTACTGTTAACGAGTGTACGGTTGGTGGGTGTGTGGGCGGGTGGGCGTGTGTTTTGGGGGGGAGTTCATGTTCGGTTCTTGTTTGTTTTTCTCTAGGTCAAAGCCTTAATTTGCCTGCGTGTCCTTTTTACCTGTATGCTCCTCCTTGTATGCCTCGTTTTTCGTTTGTTTTCTTTTTTTTTTGGCATGTATTTTATGAATGAAAACGCCAAACGGCGGAATGTAAACAAAAATCCACACATACGGTGTTTATGTGGGTGTTTCAGATACGAGATATATATAGAACCCATGTAGCATCCATATCTGCTAATTCATTGGGGGTAAGGCCCGTCCAAGATGCCCAAGATGTAGTCATAAAATTGCAGTAGCTGTCGGCGGCGGCGGCGGCCAGTTGGCGGCACATGTGCATCCAACAGATACAGATACAGAGCTGGTCGCCGTTGAACTTGAACTTCTTTCGCTGCCTGCGCCTCAATTTGTTTGCCTTTATTATTTATCTT